GGTCTTTGATAGTTTCAAAATTCATTCTAATTAACTGCTTTAGTCGCGGAACAATTTACAGCTAAACATATATTTGCATATACGAGTACATTGTATACCTGTATATTGTTGATGACCAAATGTTAACCTCTAGATGTGTATTATTATTTTTGTGTTGCTCGGGTTGCTGTCTGGTTATGGTATACCCCGGTTGGTCTAACTTATTCATATTATCAGAGACATATACTACAATATTGTATTCAATATGTCTCTGGTATTGTGTAAGCCTTGAAAGGAAAGAAGACTACATGTTTTAAGGTCAATCTTCAAGTTGATGTAGTTTAACTTGTCCGAGATTGACATGACGTCTGATGACTTCTTTGAAAAAACATCATGGCATACGTCAGAGCAATTTCGGACTATGGTTGAACATACCATAATCCTAACCAATTTCCTTATATATTCATATTTCGAGACAGATTTTTTTTCTAATCCATACTCTAAATATTCTATGAACTTTGTAAAATAATTTAATTGCAGCTTGTACAATCAACAATAAACATGAAATAAAGCTCTTACAATCGACTATTATTCAGGATTTAAACGTTTTAAAAAATTCGGAATTCCTTATATATGTATGAACTATTCTTGCGACTTGATTTAGTTTCACGAAGTATCAAAAGTTCGTCTGCAAATAATATCCCTTTACAACAAATGTATTTGAAAATTACACCTATATTGGCCGAGTAAATACACAAAATACTACATAGTTTAGTATTACGTCCAGTTGCAAATATGAAATCCATATTCAGGATGGTTACGTATACATGTGGATGACAAATTAAACGATAGCTGCTTTTTATTACACCGACAAGCCGAGCAAACGTTTTACTTGAAAGCTTGCAAATACTTTTAAGGGTGCCACATGTGTAGGCTAAGCTTGCTGTTCCGGAGCACTTAAGATCACCCTCGGTATTTAGTGAGGTTGGTGTTGCTCAGTCTTTAGTTTTCTATATATGTTGTGTTTTGTATACTGTTGCTTGCCTTTAGGTCGTTTTTCGTTTTTTTGTCATGGCGTTGTCAATTTTTTTTTCGACTTATGAGTTTGAACATTCCTTTATTTTCTTTTGCCTTATTTTACTGTTGGCTATAGACCAATCAAACACCACGTCAGCCTGTTTCATAGCTCTAACCTCTTATTTTATAAATCAGAGACTTTTTTAAACAAAGTAAAAAAAAAAATCGTTCTTAAAAAAGATATTTGTATCTAGAATGTTTTGTTTTTTTTATGAAACAAAGCTTGACTACTCTTTATGTTTAAGATAATATAATTACATAACATATCTGTTTCAGAAGAATCTTACTTTTGAATGGCTGACACCATTTGTCCGGCCGCTACATTAATCTTTAAAGACCCAAATGTTGCAAAACACTTCTCCTACCTCCATGACACATATGTTGTTGTCCCCGCAGATAAAGCCCCAAACAACATCGTTTTTGTGTGTAAATCACATTACATAAACTGCTTGATAAATGAATTAAGTATTGACAATTCACTTGGAAACTCAACATATACCCCCACGACACTTACTATAAAGAGGAAATCCTAGATAATCATAGGTCTGTTCTGTGTTCCTTTGAAACTTCAACCAAAGATGAAGAACTGGATCTTCCATCACTGTATAATGGGTACCTTAACTAAATAAGTGTCCGTACAAACAACGGTATATTGCTGGGTCTTCCAAGTTCTCAACGAAACCTCTTTCTAAATTATTAACATCAATTTTATCAGCAATCAAAACCGGGCTTTAAAGTTATTGTGATACTACCTATTCTAGAGGTGGCGTGAATCATATGTGGATACTAAAAAATTCCAAAGATCTTTTAGAGTACATACAATCTAAGACTCTTTCATCATGCAATAGTATTAACACATTTGTCGTTTCTACACTTTACACAAGTATTCCCCATTCCAAACTAAAAGACAAATTGAAAGAGTTGGTCCTGCTATGTTTCATAAAAAAATGGCCAACGTAGATAAAAGTATCTTGTCTTAGGGGGGGGGGGGGGGATAAATCCTACTTTGTAAAAAAACTGTGATTCAAACCTTAAATTCTCTGAAACTGACATTATCAAGATGCTTAATTTCTTGATTGACAACATATTTGTTACGTTTAGAGGACGTGTTTTTCAATAAACAATCAACATTCCCATGGGAACACACTGTGTCCCTCTTCTTGCCGACTTTTTCCTTTATTCATATGAGGCTGACTTCATACAGGAACTTCTTAGGAAGAAAGAAAAGAAGTTAGCAGTATCCTTAAACTTTACTTTCGGCTATGTAGATGATGTTCTCTCACTAAATAATTCAGAATTTGGTGACTATGTTGAACGCATTTATCCCATCGAACTTGAGATAAAGGATACATCAGATACAGTTAAGTCTGCCTCATATCTTGACGTACATCTAGAAATTGACAATGAGAATCGGTTGAAAGCAAAACTTTATGATAAAAGAGATGATTTCAGCTTCCCAATTGTAAACTTTCCATTTCTATTTAGCAACATTCCAGCAGCGCCTGCATACGGAGTATATATCTCCCAGTTGAAACGACATTCCAGGGCTTGTATTTCCTATCATGATTTCCTTGATAGAGGGTTGCTGCTCACAAGGAAGCTATTAAACGAAGAGTTCCAAGTGGTAAAGTTGAAATCATTCCTTCGTAAATTTTACGGACGCCATCACGAGTTGGTTGACCGTTGTGGAATATCCGTTTCACAGATGATAGCGGATATGTTACTAATGTCGTAAATACAATCCCATTCCATTTTCCCATATGTGACCTACCGAATTAGACTTATTATCGTGTTTGTACTAACAATATTACACGAGCAACACGACGGGTGCCACATGCGGAGCAGGATCTGCTTACCCTTCCGAAGCACCTGAGATCACCCCCGCCCGGTTTTTGATGGGGTTCGTGTTGCTCAGTCTTTAGTTTTCTATGTTGTGTTTTGTGTACTATTGTTTGTCTGTTGTTGTTGTTTTTTTGGTTTTTTTTAACCATGGCGTTGTCAGTTTATTTTCGACTTATGCGTTTGAATGTCCCTCTATTATCTTTCGCCTCTCTTTGAGAGGCATTTCAAAATTAGATTTTATTTTCCGATAGAATCCACATTCATGACAGCACGTGATTCTCGTGAGAACGTCTTATTAACTATGCATAGAAAAATCATAGGAACTACATGACAGGACAATTTTTAGCCCTCCCCCTTTTTAGCTCACCTGGCCTAAAAGGCCAAGTTAGCTTTTCTCATCACTTGGCGTCCGTCGTCCGTCGTCGTTAATTTTTACAAAAATATTCTCCTCTGAAACTACTGAGCCAAATTTAACCAAACTTGGCCACAATCATCATTGGGGTATCTAGTTTAAAAAATGTGTCCGATGACCCCGCTTGCCAACCAACATGGCCGACAAGGCTAAAAATAGAACACAATGTAAAATGCAGTTTTTGGCTTATATCTCTGAAACTAAAGCATTTAGAGCAAAACTGACAAGGGTTAAAAAAAATTTCATCAGGTTGGGATCTTTCTGCTCTGAAATTTTCAGACAAATCAGACAATCCGTTGGTGGGTTGCTTCCCTTGAATTTGGTAATTTTAAGGAAATTTTGCAGTTTTTGGTTATTATCTTAAATATTATTATAGATAGAGATAAACTGTAAACAGCAATAATGTTCAGCAAATTACGATCTACAAAAAAAACAATATGATCAAAATTGTCAATTGACCCCTTAAGGAGTTATTGTCCTTTATAGTCAATTTTTAACAATTTTTCTTAATTTTTTGTGATCTTTTACAAAAATCTTCTCCACTTAATCTACTGGGCCAAATAGAATTAAACTTGACCACAATTTTCAATAGGGTATCTTGATTGAAAAATGTATCCGATGACCCTGCCATCCAACCAACATGGCCGCCATGGCTAAAAACAGAAAATAGGGGTTTATTATAGAAGTCTATGGGAAAATTGTAAAAAAACAATTTCAAATAGTTACAACTTGAAAACTAATTTAAATAATGATAAGGGGTCTTCAGTAACTTTTGTAAGACTGCACTATTAATGGGATGACCTGCTTCAAAAAGAGGGACGAAAGATACCAGAGGGACAGTCACGGCAAACTCATAGATCGAAAACAAACTGACAACGCCATGGCCAAAAATAAAAAGACAAACAGACAAATAATAGTACATATGACACAACATAGAAAACCAAAGACTAAGCAACACGAACCCCACCAAAAACTGGGGGTGATCTCAGGTGCTCCGGAAGGGTTAGCAGATCCTGCTCCACATGTGGCACCCGTCGTGTTGCTTATGTTATTACAAATCCGGTAATCAAGTTTAATTTAACTACTGGGCCAAATTAAACCAAACTTGGCCTCAATCATTATTAGGGTATCTAATACTATTTATCATGATTTTAATTACCTTACATGATTACCAAAACCACAGTAGATACAGGTGAGCGACACATGCAGGCTCTTGAGAGCCTCTAGTTTCCAAAGTCGTTATTTTTTTTGTTCTATAAATTTTAATAATTTTCGCGTTTTTCTGTATTATCACGTAACCAGGCAGATTGTATAAAAATTCGAAGGAATTGATACATACATTTGATAATTTTCCTTTCTTATAAGGTCATTTTTAAATATTTATTTATATATTTGAGGGTCGTAATGGGATACCTTCATGACGAATAACGGTAAATAATCTTGTCAAATGATAATTTTTGATGCATGACGATAAAATGTACATTTTATTGATATCGATAAAAAAAATCGACTGATTTTGATAATTTATTCAGACCTGTGCGAGTCACGATAAGGATATTTTGATGAATCATGATATAATTTTAACCAATTTGGCGTTAACGGTAGCCGAAAATGACCGTTTGACGACCGACGGTAGAGCTTTCCTACCCTAAACAAACGAGAACTTTTCAAACGTGAAAATGAAGGGAAAGTGAAAGTGAAAGTGAAAGAAGGACTTTGACATGATAGTGCTTACTTTCTAGTAATAGGCTAGCATCCTTCAACACGTTAAACACGTTGAAGATTCTGCTATATATGGTATGTAGGTCAGTGCAACCTCATTAGTTGGTTTAAAGTTAATTTAGTGTTCCAGAACCGAGTTATCAAAATTGAAATGGTAGATATGTATTATATCCTTTCCTTTCTACCATAATATACCACTTTTAAACACAAGACCTTATGTACCACAGCCCAATGACATAATTTATGTTAGTTATACGTCCTTGCACAACCTTAAGTGTTTAAATACGTTTTAATATGTATATATATATTTTTTTTTAGAAACTCGTCTAGTACCTGTGATCACTTGTGTTATGTACTGGCTGTTAATAAACGACCATATGGAAAATTGAATTCTTTGTAAATGTGCAAAAAAGAAAGAAAAAGATTTTTAATAAAATGTGATGAGGAATTGAAAGAATGTACTCTTATGTATCTAATTAAATAACAAAATTGACCAGGTTGAAGGAGGTACAACCCCCACATCTCCTTTTATTCATCATAGAATCATAGACATAATCTGGTTCAAAATAAAAACAACAGAAAGTTTGCAAAAAAAATTGAAAAAAAAACCATTATTTTTTTACTAGCTGCTCTGTTTTGCAACTCAAGGTAGACGTCTTGTCTTTAACCATTTGACTAGTGACACCGCTCACAATATCCCCCTCACAATATCCCCGGCAGAGTCCATCATGGACATATAGAGAAAAGATTCTAGGTGAAACAGAAGCAACGCTTTCTGTTTTTGTAATTTAATTATTTGATCGAATGCCTGTTAAAAAGAGCAGTCCATCTTAAGAAACACAAGAAAAGTAAAAAATGTATATTATAGTTGTCCTTTTCTAGATTTAGACATTTCAATTTCTAAAGGGAAACTCCATACTAAAATTTACGACAAAAGAGACGATTTTTCATTCCCTATTGTTAATTTTCCTTTTTTAGACGGCGATGTTCCTATGGCTTCATCATACGGTGTTTATATATCCCAACTCGTTCGTCATGCCCGTGTGTGTAGTGATGTCATAGATTTTAACGAACGTAATCAATGCATCACTGGTAAATTATTATGTCAGGGATTTCGTTACCATAAATTACTTAAAACTTTTACTAAATTCTTTCATAGATACAAAGATTTGATTAGTAAATTTGGCTATACCTGTAGAAAACTTATTAAAAACGATATTTCACAACCTAATTTTTACGGTAATATTGTATTAAAAGCACGGAAATCACTATGTGATCCGTGTAAACTCATTGAACCTTTAAACAAACTTATTAGTAAAGGTTATCTTACCAAAGTTGTAATTAGATCTTTGAATATAGTTTACATTGGCACAAATATCGATTTTGTCATCAGCAATTTAAAACATAACTTAAAATTTGTATTCTTTGAAACGTTTTTTTGGATGTATAAATACACATCCATGTTCATTTTCTATATAGAGATTACTCTATCTATATATATAACATTATACATATTTAGTAAAAGGTTAACTAACTATCCTACTGCCTGTTGATACTTTTATTTTGGCATTGCACAAGTCATGTCTTCTTTGACTGTCCATGATGTTAAAATACAAAATTCCTGGGAAGTGTTATAGTTGATCTTAGTCTCTGATGCATTTTTTTTTTATTATTAATTGTTTTTGGCTTTTAACCAGCTTTCAGTAACTGCAAGTACTCTCAAATCGTACTCTTTCGTGTTAATTTGATTGTTGATACAATTTGTTATGCATTTTTGTTATTTAATGTTTACTTATTTCGTGTTATATCTCGTCTCACTATTTTTAATATATAACACCTTTGATAAGTGTTTGGTATGACGATAAATTTTCACTTTCTCGTACTATGAACAACAAAATTATTTATTTTGTAAAAAATATTTCCGTACTCCTAACAACAAAACTATTATATTTAAATTTACCTGTGTAAGTTATTTTGTTTAACGCCATTTTGTCCAAGGTTATAGTTGTCTTTTTGACATTGTTTTACATCTCCCCTTTTTATACGACCGCAAAAAAATTTGTGTGGTCGTATATTGGTATGACGTTGGCGTCGTTGTCGTCGTCGTCGTCGTCCGGTGTCATCGTCCGAAGACACATTAGTTTTCGCACTCTAACTTTAGTTTAAGTGAATGGATCTCAATGAAATTTTACCATAAGGTTCAATACCACAAAAGGAAGGTGGGGAATGATTTTGGGGGTTATGGTACCCACAGTTAAGGAATTAGGGGCCAAAAAGGGGCCAAAAATAAGCATTTTTGTAACTTTCAGACATTACTTGTGTGTAAGTGTATGGATCTCTCTGACATTGTACCACAAGGTTCCATATCACAAAGGGAATGCTGGGATTGATTTTGGGGGTAATTGCCTCCAAAATTTAGGAATTAGGGGCAAAAAACAAGCATTTTTCTAGTTTCATGACAATAACTTGTGTGTAAGTGTATGGATCTCTCTGACATTGTATCACAAGGTTCCATATCACAAAAGGAATGCTGGAATTGATTTTGGGGGTAATTGCCTCCAAATTTTAGGAATTAGGGGCCAAAAAGGGGCAAAAAACAAGCATTTTTCTAGTTTCATGACAATAACTTGTGTGTAAGTGTATGGATCTTTATGAAATTGTACTACAAGATTACATATCACAAAGGGAAAGCTGGAATTGAGTTTGGGGGTAATTGCCCAAAAAGTTTAGGAATAAGGGGCCAAAAATAAGCATTTTTCTAGTTTCCAGACAATAACTTGTGTTCAAATGTATGGATCTCTCTGAAATTGTACTGCAAGGTACCATACCACAAAGGGAAGGCTGGGATTGATTTTGTGGGTAATTCCCTCAAAATTTTAGTAATTAGGGGCCATAAAAGGGCAAAAAAACAACCATTTTTCTAGTTTCAGGACAATAACTTGTGTGTAAGTGTATGGATCTTTATGAAATTGTACTGCAAGGTTCCATATCACAAAGGGAAAGCTGGGTTTGAGTTTGGGGGTAATTGCCCTTAATGTTTAGGAATTTGGGGCCAAAAAGGGGCCAAAAAACAAGCATTTTTCTTGTTTTCAGACAATAACTTGTGTTCAAGTGTATGGATCTCTCTGAAATTGTACTGCAAGGTACCATACCACAAAGGGAAAGCTGGGATTGAGTTTGGGGGTGATGAATCATTAGGGGGTTCAAAAAATTAGGAGGGGGGGGTTTCATTTTTTTTCTTTAAAATTTTCCAATTTAAATTGGTTATTTCTGATTTATATATAAAAGCAAATAATAATGATATGGTTTGAATAGGTAAATTAAAATATTTTAAGTTCTTAGACCACTTTCATTCTGTGTGAGAAACCTATGCTGTGTCAAATATTTAATTACAATCCAAATTCAGTGCTGTATCAAGCTTGAATGTTGTGTCCATACTTGCCCCAACTGTTCAGGGTTTGACCTCTGCGTTCGTATCCAGCTGCGCCCCAGCGAAGCATTTTATTTTATTTATATTGTGTCAGAGATCAAATTTATTCGTTCAGTGTATGTTCACTTGTTTTTCTTAATATGTCTTTTGATTGAGATAAGCCATTTCAATTGATATTTTATAGTGTGTCTTTCTATGTTGTGATGTTACACTATTGTTTCAGGTAAGGGTGAAGGTTGGCACCTATTAAAACGTTTAAACCAGCTGCATTTGTTTGCACCTGTCCTAAGTCAGGAACCTGATGTTCAGTGGTTGTCGTTTGTTGATGTGGTTCATAAGTGTTTCTCGTTTTTTATATAGATTAGACGGTTGGTTTTCCTGTTTGAATGGTTTTACACTAGTCATTTTTGGGGCCCTTTATAGCTTGCTGTTTGGTGTGAGCCAAGGTTCCGTGTTGAAGGCCAAACTTTGACCTATAATGGTTTACTGTTACAAATTGTGACTTGGATGGAGAGTTGTCTCATTGGCATTCATACCACATCTTCTTATATCTATATATTGTATGGTTTGCCAATTATATCCCCCAAATTTTTTGTTAAAATGTTTTTTTTTTCTTCTTAGTCAATTGGTAAATTGTGTAACTTCGTTTTCTCACAAGCACATTCAAACTTACTATCAATATTAAGGTGCATCAAATATGTATTAATTTGGATCTAAACCATGACAAATTTGATCCAAACCCTGACGAATTTCTACACACCTAACTGAACCATGTCAATTGCTTAACCAAACCATATCAATTTCGATATTTTGGTTATCCTGAATTAATCTTAAAAACAACAATTTCAATGTAGATCGACGTTTGACTGGAAAGGAACCTAACTAAACTTAACTAAACTATGACAAAATTGCAGGATTAAATATTGTCTGCCATGAAATTATGTCCACCATACACTTTTTCACAGTAGATTGTGTCCATGGACATAATGTTATTATGAAATATCTTCCGGACAATATTTACCATGAAATCATATCCACAGATGTGAAAAAGTGTCCTTCATGGAAAGGACAATATTTCATATGAAAAAGTGTCCTTCATAGAAAGGACAATATTTCATGCGAAAAAGTGTCCACTCTCAGTACCTACAAAAAAATGTATACGGTACATAGCTTCAGTTCTTTATCTAAATTTTTTTTTAAATTAGCATGGGGGTTTTGTCTCTATTAAAACATGGCAATGTAAACTGGAGTATTGAATTCCTACAAAATGTGATCATAATCTCCATGTGTAATCAAACATAAATTATACAATAAAACATGTACTCAATACATACAAAAAACAGTAATACATTTAGTAGAACTTAATATGAACTATGTGAATAATTGTACATGTAATTCATTTCAATTTACAATTATAATGGGTTCTTAATTGGTTTGTTTTAATAATAAAAAATTAAATATAGGTAAAACATTTCAGTGACTTTTTTATTATCTCCCTTTAAAGGACACTTTAAAATGGGAAAAAAGTGTCCTCTTATTGAAAATCAACCTTTACAGGACAGAATTTTAAAGAGTTTTATCATGAAAATTATGTCTGATGTATAGACACTTTTTCACAGCATGGGACACATTTAAATATACCTTTTCTGTGAAAAAGTGTCCAGCTGGACACATTTTCACAGGACACTTTTAAGGCTCACAAAATCACTGTACTAAAGGCTCCTAGATATGATGACGTTACTACCCGTGTTAAGAGGAGATGGGTGCGCATGTCTTCACCATGTCTCTCATTTATTAAAAAGGAAAGAATGTCACATTGAAAAGGGAGCCACCAAGAATAACCATTCTGTTGACTGATCCCGCCCACAAAAAAACATTCTTATACAGGTAAAACATTATTTACATATATTTTTAACTTACAATGTTACATGAAATCAAACACACCTAGAAACTCCTGTTGGACGTGCTCACTATCTATTTATATTTATGTTTATATCAGGTTATATTACCCTCCACAGTCTGTGGAGGTCATCTCAATGGATAATAATTCAAAGTCTGGACTAAAATGCGAAGGAAATGATAATACATTATAGCTAGCCTATATATGCACTGTTAATTGTTTCATTTGGACTTTTTGTAATTTGGAGGAGATGATGAAAATTTCTAGTGACACTCTTGCTCTCTGTTTCATTTGTTGCTCAACTAAAAAAAACAGTGCTTAGAGAGGATTTCTAGGCAGGGTATGTGTTGGGACAGTCATAATGGTATGATGACTCTTGAGGTTGGGGAAGTGTGACAGGATTGCTTCCCTTCAGTAGCAGATATTTAGCCAACTGTAAGCCACGTCAGGGGCGTAGCTGCCGTTAGGCACTTTAGACACGTGTCTACACATAATTTTTTCACAATTTTTTTTTTTTATTAAAAAAAAAAAAATAAACAACGTTATCTGTAGATGCACGCTAGTGAAGTCGTCAAAACTCTTTACTTATCGAATGTCATGTGTACACTAGTCTATCATCCTTAGTGAATGGAGTATTGGATAGAATTGTATGTCATTATATTCCCCCTTATATAGAAACTATAAACTAGAACTTTGGTTCAGATCATTTCACTTCTAGCAACAAATACTTCAATGAACCTCAACTTAGACACATGATTTTTTTTAATTAGTTGTTGTTGGCTTTCAACTAGCTTTCCACTTGGTCTTCATCCGACCTATAATAAAACCATTGCCAAAGTTGAGCGTTCGTTTGGCTGTGCAGGATGTATAAATACGCAGTCACGTCTGGTCAGAATAGGGACGTTAAATCCGATACCTACTGTAGAGAGAATGCCACGCTCGCTGCACGTTAAGAAACTTGCAACAATTCTTTGAGGGGTTCGTAGGTGGTCTACTGAAAGGCAAAATTTCTGTTCCTATCCAATAAACCCTCATTTTCCAATGCATGGCGCTTCCAATTTTCTAGACCTTCGTCCTGGACGACCCCTATTACAGGACCTAGCTACCTGTTGTATTTATTGTAAATTTGTTTTTGTCCTGAACATGCATGAACTATTTGCAACTGGGCATTTAGCAATCAATCAATCAATCAATCAACTAGCTTTCAGTAACTTCGAGTACTCTCAGATCTACGTGTAATGATCATAATTATTTAAATTCCTAAGCAGGTAGGGATCTTATAGTACAGGATATAAGGAAATATGAATTTCTTGAATTTATTTTGATAGTATGAACAGAACAGCACTTCTGCATGAGGCATCGACTGTGTGTGTATGTGTTTGTGTAGCCAGGGGACGGTGAAGGTTTCTTTTAAATGTAGGATCGTCAATATGTACCATCAATTGACGTATATATTCCAATTATCCTCAATCATAAAGGAATAGATATGGAAATACTAAACAGGCTGTGCTGCTTAATAAAGGGCTACGCTGATCCACGCTGGGCAATGCATATTGTAAATATTTATTCTTAATATATTTCCGATTGTACTGCCGGCTAATTCATCAGTCAGATATAATTGTAAAAATTATGTATATTATAATTTCTTCGAAATGTTTTATATTATCATGATAAAATGACCAGTTTTCATGTTTTTTTGTCATAAAATTTGGCAACTGAAATGCTGAAACCGGTCAGGGGGCTTAGCCCCCCTGAACCCCCTACCAGGGCTCTGCCCTGGACCTGCTGGGGGGCTTGAGCGGCCCCCAGACCCCCTGCCGCAATTTGTGCCTACAGTTCATTGGATACCTAGCTACGCCCCTGACCGTTGAGCTAGAGAAGTAACTCTTTAGCTCAGTGAGTTAAAGAGCTGACTACAAAACATAGAAATCTGATAGGGACTATATATTGTTAAAAATATGACATTTACTCATAAAGGATAGCAATAAGAAATGTTCAATAAGTTACAAATTGTAGTTGATATAAATTACTATATGCATTTTCAGTTAATACAAGTTGAACTATTTTAGTGACATTGCAATCAGGTATTTTTTTCAAATTTATCATTCATAAGTATGTTAATTGTACAAATAATTAAAGTTAAGACTACATGTTTCAGTAAGATTTTATTGCCTTATCTACTAGAGCCCCTTAAATTATTATGACAGAAGTCATTCTTCCAGTAGAAAATATATTTTTTTTGCAAATCAACAACCCTTATTGCTCTATAATTGTAGTAGGTAACGGACTGTATTTGTTTGAATAAGATATATATATTTCTCTAATTCTTCATCAATTTATCCCTTTCTGCCCCCATTGTATAAACAAATTTAATCAACGTGTGGTTTGTTTGATCTCAGTTCTTCATTGGTTAAAATCCGATTATGACGTCGAATTTACTTGCTTTCCTCTGAATTTCCTATTGTGACGGCATGAAAAAAGGCAACCATGCATGATGACGTCACATAGAAAAAACACATCTTTTTACAGATCATTCGAAAAGACGGAATAAGTTTGCCTGCATATTGTTTGAAAATCATTAGAGAAACAGATTCCACCACCAAATCCCGTGTAATACGATATTTATCCACTCTCGACAGTAAAATTTTAAATATTTAAAACGCTCGGCAAGCCTCGAGTTTTAAATTTGAAAATTTAACTGTCTCGAGTGGATAAATATCGTATCACACTCAATGCAGTGGTAGAATCTATATATATATGAGTAATAAGGTATTAAATGATATGGGGTAATTAACATATTTGTATTTGCAGCAGTTTAGGAATTATATTTAAACTGGATATTTCTGAAAACATATTAAGCACAAAATTGAGAGTAATTTTAGTAAATGAAAATATCAACCTTTTTTTTTATAATAAGCTTGACATATTGACTTGTAGTAATATTTTAAGCTCACAAGACATAAGGCAATTCCAAATTAAATCTAGAGGGAATTTGCTGAAGAAAAAATGTTTTCCATCTTATAATACTCAATATATACAGGCATATACAGCAGAAAAAAGTTAATTGCAAATAGCAGTAAAAAAAAATAGAGCATAAGAATAAGAAAAAGAAAAAAATATTCTTAATTATTTTAGAAAAACAGCACTGACTCCCCAATCCCAACAGGAATTAACCTGCATGTTTTTCTGCTTTGTATCAATCTGATGAGTTAAGCTTTTTTCAACTTATTTTTATAGTTTGTTCTTATGTTCATACTCAGGAAGAAAGACTACAAAGAGAAGGATATGGTAGACCCTCTAACTATCCCGACAGAGTTCAACAGCATCAGAGGTATGATGATAGAAGAGATGGTTATGGTAGAGGTCAAAGATATCAAGGTTATTCTGACTACAATGATATGTACCAGCAAGGCCAAGGGTATAATAGAAGTGGTTATCAACAAAATTATGACAGAAGAAATGGTCACGGTAGAGGTCAACAATATCAAGGTTATTCTGACAACAACGATAGGTACCAGCAAGGTCAGGGATATAATAGAAGTGGCTTTCAACAAAATGATGACGGAAGACTGCAAAGATCAAGGGTAATGTTTTGTTGTAGTTTCTAAAGATATTCATGTATTTACTTTTTTTTTATTGGCTGAAAGACTTGCAAGTTGATGTTACATTTGATTCTGTCATATGTTTCCAATTTGTTTGAAAACAACCTATAATGTATGAAAAAAACTATGTATGAAAAAAAACTATAATGTATGAAAACAACCTATAATGTATGAAAAAAACTATAATGTATGAAAACAACCCAAGATTATAAAATCATAATCTCCGCCCACCTAAAAAGCAACACTGATTATATATATTGCTTGTGTACTTGATGAGCATACATTTATGTTATAACAAATCAAAATTTTTAATAATTTGAAAAAAGTAATTGACATTTTATATTGTAAATAACAATAATTCATAGAAATATGTAACAATAAATTACTTATCCTATAATATACATTTATAATAATTATTGTAATATAATATTTTACCAGCTATCTAATTAAGGAATAACAGCACTTTAGTTGAAGAGTTGCCATTATAAAACAAGGAGATGGGGTATGATTGCCAATGAGACAACTATCAATGTCAATCACATGCCAGGAAAACCTCAATTTTGTCATTAAAAAGTCCAGGTTTATATCAGATCTTTAGTCATCTCTTAAAACTACAAAATGTACTGACAACATTCATGACTTACAGAAAGTACTAACACATTTGGCAGGGCTGTAGTTTTTATTTGCTTTAAATTTCAGCAAATATAATTTCAAACAAAAAGGTTACTGAATAATCATAGATTTATTTTGTATTGCCATTATTTACTTTTAGTTCCTATAAAGTCCAAAATGAATATTATTTTTTTTTCAGGTAGAGGATCTGGAATTAAAACCATTATTATCTGCGAATGAAGTTTCTATGGTTATCCATGGAACTTACTATAATTCTTGGGAGAAAATCAAACACACAGTATGCTAACTTTTTATTTTATTTTACCGACCGCAAACAAATTTTTGTGGTCGTATATTGGTATGACGTTGGCGTCGTCGTCCGGCGTCATCGTCGTCGTCCGAAGACGCATTAGTTTTCGCACTCTAACTTTAGTTTAAGTGAATGGATCTCTGTGAAATTTTACCATAAGGTTCAATACCACAAAAGGAAGGTGGGGATTGATTTTGGGGGTTATGGTACCAACAGTTAAGGAATTAGGGGCCAAAAAGGGGCCAAAAATAAGCATTTTCTAGTTTCCAGACAATAACTGTGGAACGGTGTATGGATCTCTCTGAAATTATACTACAAGTTTCCATACCACAAAGGGATGGTTAGGATTTGCTTTGGGGGGTTATGGCTCAAACCGTTTAAGAATTAGGGGCAAAAAAGGGGGAAAAACATGGTTGTCCTGGTTAATGGACAAATACTTTAGTACAAAACATAATTTAAAGCAGTGTAAGGGAGATAAATCAAATACATCATTGAAATTATCTCCCTTACACTGCTTTTAAATTATGTATAAAGTAATGGTTAATGAACAATTAAGATAATTTAAAACAGTGTAAGGGAGGTAATCCAAATACAACGTTTTGGTTACTTCCCTTACACTGCTTTTAAATTATGTTTAAAGAAATGCATATTTATAAAGGAAGACCAGTAAAAATATCTGCAAATGTTGCATCTTTTTTTTTTACAAAAAAATCCATATGAAAGATTTGACACTATATTTTAAATTCTATTATAAAATAGATTAAGTTAGCACTATGGTAAATTTAAATGGGTAATTATGGTTGCAAACTCCATTGGAAATTTGAATTGAGATTATGACCATATCTTGAGGGAAAGAATTTTTTTGGGGAAAAAAGGGGGGGGGGGGTAAAAAGAAATTGTGGGGGTGGGGGTCAATTTTTTCTCATTTCAGATTTCAGAAATTAAAAAGAATTATTCTTCAAATATTATTTTTTTTTCAAATTTCAAATATGGAAAAATTTCAAGAAGTAATCTTTAATTGCACAGTATGGCGCATTAGATTTGTAAAATCTTTGACCACATTTATTTATTTGTTATGCCGAAAATAACCGTGTATTTAGATTTTTAATTTTGGGTCCAGTTTTCAAATTGGTCTACATTAAGGTTCAAAGGGTCCAAAATTAAACTTTGTTTGATTTCAACAAAAATTGAATATATGGGGTTCTTTGATATGCTGAATCTAAACATGTATTTAGATTTTTGATATTTGGCCCAGTTTTCAAGTTGGTCCAAATTGGGGTCCAAAATTAAACTTTGTTTGATTTCAACAAAAATTGAATATATGGGGTTCTTTGATATGCTGAATCTAACCATGTATTTAGATTTTTTATTTGTGGACCCTGCTATCAAATTGGTTCATATTGAGGTCAAAAGGGTCCAAAATTAAACTTTGTTTGATTTCATCAAAAATTGAATTATTGGGGTTCTTTGATATGCCAAATCTAACCGTGTATTTAGATTTTTAATTTTGGGTCCCGTTTTTTAAATTGGTCTACATCAAGGTCCAAAGGGTCCAAAATTAAACTTTAGTTTGATTTTAACAAAAATTGAATTCTTGGGGTACTTTGATATGCTGAATCTAAACATGTGTTTAGATTTTTGATTATGGGCCCAGTTTTCAAGTTGGTCAAAGTTGGGGTCCAAAATTAAACTTTGTTTGATTTCAACAAAAATTGAATATATGGGGTTCTTTGATATGCTGAATCTAAACATGTATTTAGATTTTAGATTTTTGGCCCAGTTTTCAAGTTGGTCCAAATTGGGGTCAAAAATTAAACTTTGTTTGATTTCAACAAAAATTGAATATATGGGGTTCTTTGATATGCTGAATCTTACCATGTATTTAAATTTTTTATTTGTGGGCCCGCTATCAAATTGGTTCATATTGAGGTCAAAAGGGTCCAAAATTAAACTTTGTTTGATTTCATCAAAAATTGAATTATTGGGGTTCTTTGATATGCCAAATCTAACCGTGTTTTTAGATTTTAAATTTTGGGTCCCGTTTTTTAAATTGGTCTACATTAAGGTCCAAAGGGTCCAAAATTAAACTTAGTTTGATTTTAACAAAAATTGAATTCTTGGGGTACTTTGATATGCTGAATCTAAACATGTGTTTAGATTTTTGATTATGGGACCAGTTTTCAAGTTGGTCCAAGTTGGGGTCCAAAATTAAACTTTGTTTGATTTCAACAAAAATTGAATATATGGGGTTCTTTGATATGCTGAATCTAACCATGTATTTTGATTTTGGACATTGGACCATAATAGGTAAATTAAAAAAATTGAAGTTCTTAGACCACATTCTTTCTGTGTCAGAAACCTATGCTGTGTCAAATATTTAATCACAATCCAAATTCAGAGCTGTATCAAGCTTGAATGTTGTGTCCATACTTGCCCCAACTGTTCAGGGTTCGACCTCTGCGGTCGTATCAAGCTGCGCCCAGCGAAGCATTTTATTGTATTTTGTGATTTGTACAATATTTTTTATGTTTTTGAAAATTTGATAGAAAACTCTTTACTACTATTTATCATCCTTAAACCAACTTAATTTTGGAGATTAATTTCGCTTCTTTCGTGAGCCGAAGAATAATTCGAAAATAAATCTTCTGTTATATGAATACATCAACAGAGTAAGAAAGTTGAGGAAATAAATCATGGTGAAGTCTGCTAGAAAGGGCTTAACATGAATTTTTTTTTTCATTTTTCATTCCTGAATAAAAGTATCCACTAAAATCAGTATGTTAACAGTAGATAAGAGAAACTATTTCTTTATAACTTAAATTCATGAATAGTTGCAGTGCATGTTTTTCCAAAACAAACCACAGTTTATTTTTAATTTAATTATTAGTTGTAATATTGTACATAGTCTGTGAGACAAGAAGCAATTTTAATTTTTTTTTATTAACACATGGTAGCTATTAATCTTGTACAATTTGGACTAAAATCAATATGAAAAATACCCAATACTTGCATATTTTGAAAGCTTGAACATCTTCTCCTTATCTTCATTTAAAGTTTGTTATTTGAAGAATTGAGTATACCATTGTATTTTCATTATTCAAATCCAAAGATAACTCATAATGAAGATCTCTCAAGAAAAAAAATCACAGACATGGGAGATGTCCAAATGTGGATTGTAAAGAGTTGTAAACAGATTAAATCCAACTAAAGGCTCTAATTTTTATTTAGAAAATTCAAGTTACTTTCAATATAATTTTTATGAGAGATCTTCATAATAGTAGCACCTCCCATACTGTTTTCTGATTCAGAATCCAATTGATTTTGGGGTTTCCCTTAGCAAGTCATGAACTTTGTCATTGTTGATATGGGAGTACCCATTTTGTATTTTTAACTCCTCCTAAATCCCTAAATAGAATTGATTTAAACTTTCTCAGAATATTGACCATATAATGTCATAGTGCACCTCTTTTTTTTATCCAAATTATTTTTATGGTTTCTGTCAGCAAATTATAGACTTTTACATTGTTATTGTGGGTAGGGGTGTATCATTTTGTAAGCTTTGTTAGCTCTACTTATTATACAGAACATTCCCTTAAGTACTAGTCTAGTAGTATAGATATGTCAGGTTTTTATAAGTTAATCAATATGATCATAAATATGGGCAAGCATACACATTAGTCAACTTCAAATATCAGTGTAGGGAGGAGGAAAAACAATGAGCATATCCTTTCTGATATCCAGCCCATTATTTATACCACTTATCTGTGATTCTAACTCTTTGTTATTGATTAAAAAAATAATGAAAGTTTAGGTTCGAAAACATATGCTTTGCTCTTTCTAAATTGTATCGGGAATGCTGTCCTAAACCAGTATGATTTTAGTCACAAAAGTACAATGTACCTCATTTGATTTGTGGTTTGGTGTTCCAGAAGCAAAATGAAGAAGGAAAATAAGAGTAAACAGTTTTTCACATGATCAGCATATCAGTTAGCTATTAAATGGTTGAGGGTTGTAAGTGATTGGTTCATCTTTTCTATTTCATTAATATGTTCAAAGTACTAAATATCAGAACAAACTGAAGGGTTGGACCTTCCCAACAGAAAATTTCTGGCTTGATTCTTGTTGAACAAATATTGAAAACTTTATTTAATTATTCTAGGGACTAAGTAGAATGGGAAGAAATCATATCCACTTCAATGCAGGAGAAATAGAAGAAAATGGAGTCATTTGTGGTAAGTCTTTGGATTACATGGTAGAACCTGGGTTAATTGATTGTTTGATGTATGCTTGATAATGTAAGTGTTAAATTGCATGCATGTTTAGGACAGCGACATGTATATGTGATATGGATAGACCCTACTTTTTATAACATCAAAATTCTTGAGTCTGCATTTTGAGCATGTATTTTCACAAGGTCAACCATCCAAAAGAAGAAACATGTCACCTATGATATACAGACTCATTACTGAGATCTGACTCTAAACTGACCAGCTTTTCCTGTGTCTCCTTATTCATACGAAAGTGGTCAGACCAAGTGTCAGAATTAGATTTGATACTCAATAACTACACATAATAGGTCAACAATAATTGGTATGTGGATTCATTTAGGTTTTGAGGAGTAATAAATATATGTTGATCTAACGTATGGCATTTGGCCTTGTGGTCAGTTTTTAAGACTATATTATCTCTTTTTTACTGGTAACTGTACAAGTTATGTCAGCACTATTTTGTATGAGGACTATTTTTCTATTTGGGGTACCACATGCTAAATGGGACAAACTTATTTTTTGGGTAAAGATCAAAACCCTATGGTACTGACTTGATACCTATATCTTCCACGGTTTATCACTTCCGGTACTTTTGATATACACAAAAAATAGTGCATTGATCATAACAGTCAATACGTCATCCTATCTATGGAAATTTCCAGAAATTTATCAATGAAATATATGATCAGATACTTCATGTTACAAAATGATGTTATACTTGGCACGAAAATTACATAACTTGTGCAAGGTGCAAGAATCTAATATCTGTTCTAAGAATATCAATGCTGTCATTGTCAAAGTAATCTTTTAAATTGGAGTTATCTTCCTTTGACCATAATTGTAGTTGAATCAGCAACAACCAATCCTTTATACAATGCAATGTTTAATTTGACTGGTGAGTTAAAGCAATCTTTACCCTACAGTGCTTAATTACCAGCACTTTGATTTTACTTTCTGATTGTACATTTTAAGAATGTTTTTTATTCTTGAGTACCTTCACATAGTAGGTCACCAATATTTGCTATGTGATTTTTTGCATGGATTATATGCCTATCTGACATGTCATCTGGTATGATATACTTTTCACATGCCAGTGGCCAGAGTCTAAATGAGGTCTGTTTTTTGTAACTATACTTGATTAATCAACAATATTTGGAATTTTGCTTGGCAGCTAGTATATTTTAACAATGTGCCACAATCTTTTTAAATGGAAAGAAAATTTGCAAAAGACAAACAAAGTAAAGTCCATTCTAATGGAATTAAGCAATATTAAACTTGACAAAAATAGTTCACCTACACATACTTTATCAGTTAACATTTTTGGAATTTTGAAAATAAAAATATCAAACCAATTCACAAATCATGCCTATTATATTGCTTGTGTCTTCTATACATGTAGGTGTATAAATACTGGGTGCATATGCTTTGCATTTGTTAAAAAAAAAAATATGTTTTTTGTGATTATTTTTTTCATTAACCATATATTTTTTACAGGTATGAGCCAATCATATGAAGTATATATATATATTAACCTACAGATGGCTTTGGAAGGTAAGAGATCATCTAGCATTTAATAACATTATCAATACCAATTTTATTGAACCAGATGCACATTTTCACAATTAATGTCTCTTCAGATCAGTAACTGATAGCTATATATAAACTCTGAAAGGAAAAAGGTATGATAAGGCCACTTTTTGGTCCCTTGAATTTAATTCTAAAAAGTATTATAAATTTACCAAATAAAAACCTTTAGGTGTTCATAAGACATTAGCCTGACAGATATCATAGTTTTGAATTTAGTCACAAATATTTGCATTAAGGCTTCAACTGTTTGAGGGGCCTTGGTGGCCCAGTGGTCTTAGTGGCCTTTTATAGCCGACCATAAAGTGTGGGTTTTCTCTTTTTTGAAGGCTGTTAGGGTGCCTATAATTGCTTACATCCACTTCATTTGGACTTTGGTGGATAGTTGTGTCATTGGCAATCATACCAACTCTCCTTATTTTTATACTAGTAGTTGAACTGCTGTATCACTAGTCTGTCAACACTGAGCTTGTGATTTCGAATTCTGAACATGGCAGGTGTGTGCGACTTCAGTCTTTATTGACTAGTATTGTCAATTTTCCTACAGAACTACAGAAGCTTGGTTGTTCTCTTCAGGCCCTTCAGCTTCCTCCAGTCCTCCACTAAAAAAAACTGACCGCCATGAAATAGCACAAAAAAAGTATTGAAAGTGGTGTTTAACACCAATAAATAAATCAATCTTTTGGATTTGAATGCAAAAGTGCAAAAAGGGTCTGAATATCTACATTTTAAGATCTTGTCATTAATATTTGATTACATGTATGAAAAAAGGCTTAATCCAAAAAAATACATGTTTTATAGAGGTGTTGATCAATATGTGTGAAATATCTTTTGGGGTTAATGTTTTGCTCATATCTTTTTTGTACAAAAACAATTTAAATATTCAGTGTGCAACTTTCACAATTCGCTTTACATTGACCATGGAAATACATGCACCAAATTAGCCTTTTGTCCAAATTATATTGTGTTCACCCATGTGTCGATTTCAAAATGATTGATTCTGTCTGAACAGAACAATTTATATTTTTTTAGATGGATTCAAGTTTTTCCGCTCAGCCAATAATGTAATACTTTGTGCTGGAAATGAAGATGGATTTATTCCCCATAAATACTTTGTAGAAGCTGTAAAAAGAAACCCAAGTATGTAATATAACAAATTATCACTGCAATCACCATTTTTAATATCCAAAAGTGGTATTTTTAAATATTTTTCTCTTGTTATCATATTATGACTAAGCATAGTAAATGTCTTATCTCAAAATTAAAATTGGAGTGACAGATTTATTTGAAAATTTTCTATTTCCTAAGTGGTGATGATTATAAGCTATATTAATAGACATTTTGAAGTTAATTACATAATGTTAGAGTACTATGTTAAACCATAGTTCTGTTCAAAAGATTAACCCTCCAGATTTGCAAGTATGATAATCATTGGAGTGACAGATTTATTTGAAAATTTTCTGTTTCCTGATAAGATCTGTAGGACTGTATATATAAAGTTTGAAATTTACTAGAAGGAGTATATAAATGAAGTTTGAAATTTACTGTTCATTATTAGACATTTTGTAGATAATTAAGTCTCCCTAAACCATATATATTCTTACCCCCACCCCCTTCAATTTGAGAATGTGCTTTTATCTTGTAAACAGTCGAGATCCCCACCCCTAAACCATATATATTTTGGCATGGGACTATAAAACAAATCAAATGAAATATTGGGGGAGTCCCCGGGTTCACCCCCACCCCCCTTCTTTTTGAAAACTTGTAAACTGTCAAGATCCCCACCCTGAAACCATATATATTCTTGTATGGGACAATAAAAAAAATCAAATGAAATAAAAGGCGAGTCCCCTGGAGTCACCCCCACCCCCTCCTGTTTGGGAACTTGTAAATGGTCAAGATCCACAACCCTAAACCATATATATTCTTGTATGGGACAATAAAACAAATCAAATGAAATATAGGGGAAGTCCAGAGGGGTCACCCTCACCCCCCTTCTTTTTGAAAACTTGTAAACGGTCAAGATCCCCACCCAAAAACCATATATATTCTTGTATGGGACAATAAAACAAATCAAATGAAATAAAAGGTGAGTCCCCTTGGGTCAACCCCTCCCCCTCCTGTTTAAGAACTTGTAAACAGTCAAGATCCCCACCCCTAAACCATATATATTCTTGTATGGGAAAATAAAACAAATCAAATGAAATATAGGGGAAGTCCATGAGGGTAACCCCCCCTTCTTTTAATAACTTGTAAACGGTCAAGATCCCCACCCTGAAACTATATATATTCTTGTATGGGACAATAAAACAAATCAAATCAAATATAGGAGAACTCCATGGGGGTCACCCCCACCCCCCTTCTTTTTGAAAACTTGTAAACGGTCAAGATCCTGTCCCTGAAACCATATATACTCTTGTATAGGACAATAAAACAAATCAAATGAAATAAAAGGCGAGTCCTCTGGGGTCACCCCCACCCCCTTCAATTTGAGAACTTGTAAACGGTCAAGATCCCCCACCGTAAACCATATATATTCTTGTATGGGAAAATAAAACAAATCAAATGAAATATAGGGGAAGTCCATGTGGGTAACCCCCACCCCCCTTCTTTTTGATAACTTGTAAACGGTCAAGATCCCCACCCCTAAACCATATATATTCTTGTATGGGACAATAAAACAAATCAAATGATATAAAAGGTGAGTCCCCTTGGGTCAACCCCACCCCCTCCTGTTTAAGAACTTGTAAACGGTCGATATCCCCACCCCTAAACCATATATATTCTTGTATGGGAAAATAAAACAAATCAAATGAAATATAGGGGAAGTCCATGTGGGTAACCCCCACCCCCGTTCTTTTTGATAACTTGTAAACGGTCAAGATCCCCACCCTGAAACTATATATATTCTTGTATGGGACAATAAAACAAATCAAATGAAATATAGGGGAAGTCCATGGGGGTAACCCCCACCCCCCCTTCTTTTTGAAAACTTGTAAACGGTCAAGATCCCGTCCCTGAAACCATATATACTCTTGTATGGGACAATAAAACAAATCAAATGAAATAAAGGTGAGTCCCCTTGGGTCACCCCCACCCCCTCCTGTTTGATAACTTGTAAACGGTCGAGATCCCCCACCGTAAACCATATATATTCTTGTATGGGACAATAAAACAAATCAAATGAAATATAGGGAAAGTCCATGAGGGTAACCCCACCCCCTCCTGTTTAAGAACTTGTAAATGGTCAAGATCCCCACCCCTAAACCATATATATTCTTGTATGGGATAATCGAATTATTGCAGAAGAGTGTCCACCATGCACTTGCAATGCACTATTATTAGAATAGTAGAATAGAATGATATACAAATGGATGAAAATTATATATACATGTAACTGTTATATACAAATATTAATATGATATATAACAACATACCAGAGTATACTGATTTGTATCACTACAATATAATAGTTATTACGGTGAGGTTGAATTCCCTTTCATTTATTCATCATCCAAGCACGAACTTGTCTCAGAAAAAAATATATCTATGTACCTTAACCTCACTTTCAGGTATAGAGATGTGATTTTTTTTCTGAGACAAGTGCTTGTGACCATCCATAAGAACTTGCAGCCATCCGATGTTCAGTACTTCAGTACTTCAGTACTTTGATTAAATAACTAGGCAGCTGGCTCATCATCTACTATTATTAATTTCAATACTGTATGCTTTCAGTTTTTTTCTTAAATCTATTACTCTGTTTTTCTTTCTTGTAAAAAAGTGATACACAATATACAAAATGCCTATGAACAAACATTACCAAAAAGAACAGATGTAGAATTTTTTTTGTTTCCGTTTAGCAACACCCGCTTAATATATATTCATCTTTAGATGTCGTTTTAGCTGAGCTTAATTGCTGTTATTAAGTGTCAATCCATCATCCATCCATTGTGTGTCAGTAATCTTATGTTGTTATGACACTTTTTATGTTCAATCTTAATTTCTGAAAGTTCAATTTTGTTCTAACTTAGCTGTAATACTGCTGGTTTTGAAGCCCTTCTGCAACTATGTAAAATAAAAGAACACAGTTTCAATGTCACCCTTGCCGCACATTTTATCTATCCAAGGGCAATAACTAAAAACTCATTTTTTTTGTTTTTTAAAGGGGCACTGGCTGTCAAATTAATGTTCACCGATTTGACTCAAATTCTCATATTTGATTCATAACAATGTAAAACATTTATCCAAATTATAAAAAGTCTAAAATAAACAGTATATCGGGCATGGGCTAGATAAAATATAGCTTCGTTTTGTGTGTATTTTAGTCTAGACGCCATCTAGTTAACTGTCGTGTTACCTTCTGAGGACCTCCAGTTGCCATATAAGCAATATAAACATAAATATAGATATAAATAGATATCAGACACGTGCATTTGGATTTTTCTAGGTCTGTTTAATTTCATATTATAGATTAAAAATATATGTTAATCATCGTATTTACCTGTATAAGAATGATTTTTTGTGGATCGAATCAGTCAATAAAATAATTTACCTTTGTTTCATTTTCAATGTTGACATTCTTTTCCTTTAAATAATTGAACATACACAATGCATGCAGTATCCATCTCTAGCTAAGGGGTTAAATTGAAGTTCACATGAATACAGATTCAATGAGGTCGAATTATTCACTTGCAAGTGAATAATGCATCTTCAATGTTTCTTAGCTTAATTTGACAAAATTGAACCATAATGGATGCTTAAATCGATATATTATTTCACTATTTCACTTTCATCAATGATTGAACCAAAAAAATCATATTTTATATTTTTTATATATCTTGTAGCTAGTGCCCCTTTAAAACAATTTATAAATAACTTAGAGACATGAAGGCTTCATAGCAAGTTCAATGCAATTTCCCTTATAAAGAATTTTTCCAGGGTCATAACTAGTTAGAAATAAATGATTGCATGCATATATAGGCACCAATTTTCAAATATGTCTGAGACATTGCTGATATAAACCTATAATATTATAAATTTCATAAAAATCTTGCAAGAATTGTACACACAATGCAATTTTCCATGTAATTAATATTTCCAAGGGGCATAACTCTTTTTAAAAAAAATTGATCTGCAATGATTTTCGAAATTGTCTAAGACAATGCTGATATAAACCTATGATATTAGGTTCATAAAATTCAGGCAAGAATTGTACACATCAGCAGAGAGTGCTAATGATGAAATTTTCAATATGATAAATGTTTCTAAAGGGTATAACTCTTTTAGAAATAATTGATCAGCACTGAATTTCGAAATGGTCAAAGACATTGCTGATATAAACTTATGATATAAGTTTCATAAAATTCTGGCAAAAATTGTACACATGACAGTGCTTACAATGCAATTTTCCATATAATCAATAATTCCAAGTGGCATAACTCTTATAGAAATAATAGATCTGCTCTGATTTTTTAACTCGTCCAAGTCATTGCTGATATATAAAAAAAATTCTCGCAAGAATTGTACACATGATAGTGCTAATGATGCAATTTTCCAAATAGTTAATGTTTGTAAGGGGCATAACTCTTTTAAAATTAATTGATCTGCACTGATTTTCAAACTCATCCAAGACATTATTGCTATAAACCTAAGATATAAGTTGTATAAAAATCTGGCAAGAACTGTACATGTGATAGCGCTAAGAGGACGGGACAGACAAACGGACAGAGGCCCGCCCTGTATTTTAGCGCGTTCCCGGAAGGACAAAAAAATTCAAAATTCAAAAAATATAAAAACATTTGTACTGACAAACTCAGATCTGATGAACTTCAGAAGGATTTTTTTTGGTAGATTAATGAATTTTTGAGTTTTTGTCATATAAAATAGAGAATATCATATGGCTTTTCAATATAACGTCATTAACCTGAGATGCCAATGTAATCCCAAGAGCTCTGCTCGAGGGATTATATTGATAGACTGGGTTGATAAGGTTTGTGATATTGAAAAAGCCATTATATAAATAACACATAGCCGAGAGAGTGGTAGAGCAGATTGTTACCCCGAGAAAACATTGTCAACGGAGGCGAAACCAAGGTTGACAATGTTTTTTCGAGGGTAACAATCTGCTCTATCACCCTCTCAGCTCTGTGTTAATTAATTTATTTTACTGAATGTTCTGACATTACTGTCTTTTATATTTTAAATTGTAAGTACTTAACTATGACGTCATGTACATAACATAAGTTTTATATTTTAAATTGTAAGAACAGTTATTAGAAAAACAACAATAGTGAAGCAATACTGGTATGTAATTTTTATACGACCGCAAAAAAATTTTGAGGTCGTATATTGGTATGACGTTGGCGTCGTCGTCGTCGTCGTCGTCGTCGTCGTCCGGCGTCGTCGTCCGAATACACAATGGTTTTCGCACTCTAACTTTAGTTTAAGTGAATGGATCTCTATGAAATTTTACCATAAGGTTCAATACCACAATAGGAAGGTGGGGATTGATTTTGGGGGTTATGGTACCAACAGTTAAGGAATTAGGGGCCAAAAAGGGGCCGAAAATAAGCATTTTTGTAACTTCCAGACATAACTTGTGTGTTAGCATATGGATCTCTTTGACATTGTACCACAAGATTCCATATCACAAAGGGTCAATGCTGGGATTGATTTTGGGGTTAATTGCCTCAAAATTTTAGGAATAAGGGGCCAAAAGGGGGCAAAAAACAAGCATTTTTCTAGTTTCATGACAATAACTTGTGTGTAAGTGTATGGATCTTTCTGAAATTTTACTACAAGGTTCCATTTCACAAAGGGAAAGCTGGAATTGAGTGTTGTGGTAATTGCCCAAAACGTTTAGTAATAAGGGGCCTAAAAGGGGGTTTAAAATAAGCATTTTTTAGTTTCTAGACAATAACTTGTGTTCAAGTGTATGGATCTCTCTAAAATTGTATTACAAGGTACCATACCACAAAGGCAAGGCTGTTATTGAGCTTGGTTTGGGGGGAAAGGGGGATGGGGGTGATGAATCATAAGGGGGGGCGGGGGTCAAAAAAGGGGTAATTTTTTTTTTTCCTTTTTTTTTTTGTTTAAAATTTACATTTTAAGTTAGTTATTTTTTATCACGAAGAGAAAGTAGGAATTGAGTTTTGGGGTTAATTGCTCAAACATTTATGAATAAGGGGCCAAATATTGGTCGAAAATAAGGATTTTTTTAGTTTGCAACAAAAACTTGTGTTCAAGTGTATGGATCTCTGTGAAATTGTATTGCAATGTACCATACCACAAATTGAAGGTTGTGATTGAGGTTGGGGATGATGAATCAAAAGGGGGTTGAAAAAATGTGTGGGGGGTAGGATTTTTTTTTTTCCTTTTTTTTTTCTTTAAAATTTTCCATTTAAAGATGGTTGTTTCAGATTTATATATGAAAGAAAATAATAATGATACGGTTATATATCATGAGGAATTGAAATTTAAAATTATGTATATTGGAAATTTAGGTTACATTGGAAAGTAATAATTGGCTTTGGGGGGGGGGGGGGGGGGGGTTATGGCTCTAATGTTTAAGGAATAAGGGGAAAAAAGGTTAAAAAACAAGGGTTTCCATTTTAATAGACAAATAATTGAGTAAAGAACATTATTTAAAAGCAGTGTAAGGTTGGTAATTCAAACTCATTTAAATATCTCATCTACACTGCTTTTAAATTATGTAAATTGGAAATTTGCCAATAACTTTATTGTTAATAAATGCATTGGAAATTTGCCAACAATTTTAGTGTAATAAACTTCATTGGAAATTTGCCAATATAAAATTTTGCTGATGAAGGTTTTTTGTTTACCTTTAGCCTTGACTATGAAGTCATTTTCTATTTTTATAGCCTTATGATGTAGTTGAATTATTTAATACTTTTATGATGTGTTTAAATGGGGTTTTATCATGTTTATGGTTGCAAATTTATTATTTTAGTATAATAAACTCCATTTAAAATTTGCCAATAAAAAAAATTTTTGTTTATTTTTAGCTATGATTATGATGTCATTTTCTATTTTACTTTTATGGTTGCAAAGAAATTTTTATTTTTAGATATTACTGTTAAATAATGCTGATTAAGGTTTTTGCTATGTTTAGCCATGACTATGATGTCATTTTCTATTTTAATATCTGTTATGATGTATTTAAATGGGCTTTTATGGTTACAAAGGAATTTTATTTTTAGATATTACTATAAAATGTTGCTGATGCTGATTAAGGATTTTGTTTATTTTTAGCCATGACTATGATGTCATTTTCTATTTTAATACCTTTATGATGTAATTTCCATTTTTAGATATTACTGTTAAATGATGCTGATTAAGGGTTTTTTGCTATGTTTAGCCATGACTATGATGTCATTTTCTATTTTAATATCTTTATGATGTATTTAAATGGGCTTTTATGGTTACAAAGGAATTTTATTTTTAGATATTACTTTAAATGTTGCTGATTAAGGATTTTTGTTTATTTTTAGCCATGACTATGATGTCACTTTCTATTTTAATACCTTTATGATGTATTTAAATGGGCTCCCATGTATTTAGATTTTTGATTATTTATACATGTTACCAAATTGGTCCACATTGAACAAAAACGGTCCAAATTTCAACTTTATTACATTACATCAAACATTGAATTCTACATATTCTTTGATATATTGAAATTAACAAACTATTTAGTTTATGGATATTCCACCATAATAAGTAAATTAAATTTTTTCCAGTTCTTACACCACATTCATCCTGTGTCAGAAACCTATGCTGTGTCAAATATTTAATGACAATCCAAAGTCATACCTGTATCAAGCTTGAATTTTGTGTCCATACTTGCCCCAACTGTTCAGGGTTCGACCTCTGCGGTCGTATCAAGCTGCGCCCCAGCGAAGCATTTTTTTTATTTTGACAGTCTATGAAAAAATTCTGAGGCCAAGACGTAAAACTGTAGCATTCTTTCTAGAATTATCGATCTGAGCCATGGGATAGAGTAAATGATTACCCTCCTGTTACCAATCAAAATTTGGCATTTTGACATGAAGTATAATAAATTAATATTACCGCCCTGGTACTTCAATATAGACACATATTCTATAGTTATTTTTCTTTTTACAGACAAATTAATGAGAAAAAACACCACAGATGAATCTGAAATCATTGTCCAGGCATTATATGTAGATTGTCTGCGTCAAAAAGGCATGGAAGCTGAACATTGTGAACCATCAAAACCTGAAGAGAAATCAGATTTGATGACAGCAGGCAAAGAGTCAAAACTCTTCAGAAATTGCCAGGAACCAGTTAAGGTTAAACATTAATTGATTGACATTGGTATTGACTTTATTATAGGCATTGGTATTAAAGTTAGTATTGACTTTGGTATTGAAGTTAGCATTGACATAGGCATTGAAGTGAGTAATGACATTGGTAATGACATAGGCATTGAAGTGAGTAATGACACTGGTAATGACATAGGCATTGAAGTGAGTAATGACATTGGTAATGACATAGGCATTGAAGTGAGTAATGACATTGGTAATGACATTGGTATTGAAGTGAGTAATGACGTTGGTATTGAAGTGAGTATTGACACATGTACAAGAATTGTGGACACTTTTGAGGGAGATAACTCAAATTAAGAAATAATTCTTTTGAACTGGGTTTCTAATCTCCTTGACTCATCTGGTGTCCAGTTCGCAAGATAAGACAACTCTCGATATGTGTTGCGATGGTCTATATATGATCATATATGTGCTAATTGATTGTAATCAGTAGGAATCCTTTAACATGTTAACTATCAGCAAGGATTTGTATAGTTTTAAATCCTTGCTATCAGCAAGACACTTGGTTTTAAAGAGAAAGAAAAATTATATTTAAATATGCAATTACTTGGGCTGTAGTAGAAAGAATTGACGACTAACTATGTCAAAAAAGTTCATAGTTTAATTTTCATTTGGCATAATTATAAATCTTTCTTTCAAAAGAATCTTCTTTGTCCTTCTTGATTATGTAAAAAAAAATCTGAAAAAAAGGTATTTACTATCTGTTTTATACGCCTCTGAAACCGTAAACGATTGACTTTACAATGGTAATTATGAGGTCATATAAAATAAAGGTAATTTTTCAGTCCTGAGTTGCAAGTAAATGGCACAAAGTCCCACGCCTGACCGTCACATAATTGATAGGACAAAAATTCACAATTAAATAGTAAAACTGTTTACTATCGTTGAAATATATTAGAGAAACTTAAATTATTGAAGTACTTTCTTTTTATCACATAAATTCATTATACAGCTTGGGATATTGTTCGTTAGAATTGATAAATGAAGACTTATCAAATTTTATTCATGCAAAGGATATATTTCTTGGTACCATAAAGCCAGTCAAGTAATAACAAATTTTCGCAGCCTATTTTCTAAATAATCACTGGATCATTATGAATTCTTTTACCGTGAATTAATTTTGTTTACAAAGTTGTATATACTTATAATTATCAATGTTCAAGAAAACACAAACTATTACTATGAAACAAGTTTTTCACATTGTAAATCAGAGACAAACTATCTCTAACCTGACTTTTTTCTGGTACCATCTTCGTGTCCGGGGCTTTTATGTCCTACATTTGAAATGTATCATCTTAATTCAACAAATGGATATATTGGCTTATAAATAAAAAGTTGTGGTATGATGAAAACTTTCCGTCAATTGAAAGAACAAAATACGAGGATGTTATCAACAGTTACTATAGGACACTGTACGTCATTCAACAATGAGTAAACCCAGTTATACATGTTATAAAAAGTTATGTTATAAAATGCCCCGGTATGAAAAAATGAGAAATCATTTAAAAGAGAAAAACAATGGCCTGACTTATGTTCTAACATAGTTAAAAAAAAAGACTAAAATCGCAACTAGTCAAAATAGCGGTGGTTTTTTTTCTAATCTTAAAAAATCCATTTTTCGATTTTGAGATGCTTTTCAGAAGAATTGGGTAAAAAAGACTAAACCTGTGAATTTTAGAAAGTCGATTTGATAAGTTTTGACAATTTTAAGGCTACAATAATGTTTAAGAGGTAAATTAACAGGGAATCTCACGTTTTTTTCTTCTTTTTTGCTAGTGTGAAATACATACAGGTTGGTATAATTCCTATTTTTCGAAATATTTGCCTACTTCGTGTCAATTTTCGCTGTATCTGTATAACCGTTAGATAATGATGTTTATTCTTAACATAAACCCATATTGAAAAGAAAAGATGGGAGTAATATGCAAAAACCAGACACAATACAATTTCATATGAAACTCAGTCATAAATTTCGAAAACATATGCGGTGTGAATCTAAATTTTTCAATAAACTATAGAGCTTCATCTTCACATGTGTATCCGGGATCGTTTTCCGTCTTCCTCAGGCAAGTTTAAAAAGCGATTCATATTGATGAAGATAACAAATGTTTTCATATATATTAACCTGCAAAATCGCTAAATAAGTTCATGAAAAAGCATTATAGGTCTGCTATATACAACTTTTTATACAGCCATTGTATGAGGGTTCTTTGAATTTAGACGGCCCTTTATAGCTTACTGTTCGGTGTGAGCCAAGGCTCCGTGTTGAAGACCGTACTGTGACCTATAATGGTTTACTTTTATAAATTTTGACTTGGATGGAAATTTGTCTCATTGGCACTCATACCACATCTTCTTATATCTATAAACAAAACATGTCTATCCAAAATAATTTTGTAATCACATAACCCGGTAAGCAGAAAGGCAAAATAAATTTTCAAAAATATTTAATATGCACTCATGTGGGACGATCATTTTTATATAGACACCAATAGGAGGCGAATTGGAACTTAGACAAATAACTGTGAAAAAAGGCATAGGATAGCAAATTTACGTACCAAAAATAAGATGTGTGGCATAAACTTAAACAAACCAGAGTTAAGTTCTTTTCTAGAACTTGTCTGTTTTGTATTTTCTTTTATGCACGTTCTGTTAATCTATACTGAGATTCAAAAGGGGTAGGGTTGAGACCTACAAAAGTAAGTTTAACTCGAACACATTTCCATATACATGTACTAGTACCTGTCAAAATTTGGGGACCTCGTAAGTAGTTGTCATATGTTATATCTTATTTGTTTTCGTTATTTGGAGAATGTTTGTGTATTTAAGTTGCCCTGTAAGAGCCTGTCTTTTGGAGAAGGCTATATTTTGCTCTCTAGATGTCTAAGTTATTTATGTGCATGGTTGGGTTGCTATCTCATTTACCAGAAGTTCATGACTTCTGCATTTACTTATACCCCACATCTACCTTCATTCATAGAAAAAGTTTGGTCTGATAGAAATGATTACACTGATATTGAAAGGCAAAGTAATATTATTTTTGAAATATCAGAAAACCTGTTGCACATATCAAATGATATGTCAAAGAGAGTGCCCAACTGTTTTTGGATTTATTATTATAATTTAACTGTTGAATAAGTATTTTTTTTATATCATCGGACATTTGAATGTTCTAGATGCACAATTAACATATTGGATAGAAAATAAAAGGATATGGAGTAAATGAACATGGGACAAAATCGCACATAATACATAGAAAACATAGAAAATTATCAATGAACAGGGCTTTTATTCCTGTTCTACATCTTGACAGTTGATGTAGGGTCTTCAACAATGAATGAATCATTCCAATATTTCAACATTAAAAACTTTAGTTAAATCTCTCGTGCACACTAGACATGCTAGACGGGGCTATATATTATGTTCATGTATAAACATCCCTGAGTACAGAAGTTGACGGAGTTATACGTTAAGTGTACATTAAACTTTTAGTACCGTCAAATGATATTCAAAATCAGCATGAATGTTGGTCTACATCTTTCATTAATTGAATAGCTGGCAGATGATAAAACAGTGGGTGGTTATTGTTTAAATTTACACCTTAATATGGTTAGATAAGAACACAATAAACGATACATGTACATAGCTTTTTCCTTCCAATAAATAAAATATGTATTATACATAATAAGTGTTTACGAGAAAGAAAAACAATTAAATCATTAATGTAACTTTTCCCGAACCCTACAAAACTTAAATAGCAATACACAAATGCTTTGCATTTCAAGTTAATTAATTCATCATCCAACTTTTAGTACAGCATTTCAAATTATCATTGTTTCCTTTGTCAATAGGTGTGTACTGCAAATAAGCTTTTTGTAATTCATTAGCAATTTTCTAATCATACAAAATGTGTTTAAGTTCTATATCTATATATCTAAATTATCCGGATAATGTTTAAAATTTCAACAATTTTTAATCGGGACTAAAATTCAATTTAACATTTTCGTCATCATGAATTTATTTTAAACAATAATTGAAAAATGATTAATATTATTATTAATTTTTTTTTAAAGTTTCGACGCTATCTTATATCAAACATTTTCCGTCTTTCCCAATATGGTACGTATAGATATCGGTTTCAGTTCTTTACAATATACGTATGTACATGAACTGACGTTTGATAACGAAATAATCACCATATTCAAACTTCCAGGGACACCATCAAATGCAAACTTAAAATATTTTTTTTTGCACCTTCAGAAAGATGAATTATACAAAAATAACATGGGACATGGCGAAATAATGTCACTGCAATAATGAATTTTATAGGAATTTTTTACTACCACTCGTCATCATTGAATTTGGTTAAGTTATGTGGGAAAAACGTATCTTTTCATGGGAAATTTTCAAATCATTAGGGACACCACTTTTAAATAACATAAAATAATTTTTTTTACATCAAAATAAAGATAAATCTAATAACTTTTTCACCTGCCATGGCAATAGTTTATGATTGTAGAAATAAAATGTTGACAAATCATTTTAAAGCAACTGTCATGTTTTTTCCATATACAACAATGTTAAATTTTATCAGTCCAGAAGTGCTCCCTTGTTATTCACTGATAACGTTACCCCCGCTGAGCTGTCCCTGATTCTTGTGTATGATTGGCATTGAAGTGAGTATTGACATTGGTATTGAAGTGAGTATTGACATTGGTATTGAAGTGAGGAATGACATTGGTATTGAAGTGAGGAATGACATTGGTATTGAAGTGAGGAATGACTAATGACATTGGTATTGAAGTGAGGAATGACATTGGTATTGAAGTGAGGAATGACATTGGTATTGAAGTGAGTAATGACATTGGTATTGAAGTGAGTATTGACATTGGTATTGAAGTGAGGAATGACATTGGTATTGAAGTGAGGAATGACATTGGTATTGAAGTGAGGAATGACTAATGACATTGGTATTGAAGTGAGGAATGACATTGGTATTGAAGTGAGGAATGACATTGGTATTGAAGTGAGGAATGACATTGGTATTGAAGTGAGGAATGACTAATGACATTGGTATTGAAGTGAGGAATGACTAATGACATTGGTATTGAAGTGAGGAATGACTAATGACATTGGTATTGAAGTGAGGAATGACATTGGTATTGAAGTGAGGAATGACATTGGCATTGAAGTGAGTATTGACATTGGTATTGAAGTGAGTATTGACATTGGTATTGAAGTGAGGAATGACATTGGTATTGAAGTGAGGAATGACATTGGTATTGAAGTGAGGAATGACATTGGTATTGAAGTGAGGAATGACTAATGACATTGGTATTGAAGTGAGGAATGACATTGGTATTGAAGTGAGGAATGACATTGGTATTGAAGTGAGGAATGACATTGGTATTGAAGTGAGGAATGACTAATGACATTGGTATTGAAGTGAGGAATGACATTGGTATTGAAGTGAGGAATGACATTGGTATTGAAGTGAGGAATGACATTGGTATTGAAGTGAGGAATGACTAATGACATTGGTATTGAAGTGAGTATTGACATTGGTATTGAAGTGAGGAATGACATTGGTATTGAAGTGAGGAATGACATTGGTATTGAAGTGAGGAATGACTAATGACATTGGTATTGAAGTGAGGAATGACATTGGTATTGAAGTGAGGAATGACATTGGTATTGAAGTGAGGAATGACATTGGTATTGAAGTGAGGAATGACTAATGACATTTGAAGTGAGGAATGACATTGGTATTGAAGTGAGGAATGACATTGGTATTGAAGTGAGGAATGACTAATGACATTGGTATTGAAGTGAGGAATGACATTGGTATTGAAGTGAGGAATGACATTGGTATTGAAGTGAGGAATGACTAATGACATTGGTATTGAAGTGAGGAATGACATTGGTATTGAAGTGAGGAATGACATTGGTATTGAAGTGAGTAATGACATTGGTATTGAAGTGAGTAAGTATTGAAGTGAGTAATGACATTGGTGTGAGTAATGACATTGGAATTGAAGTGAGTAAGTATTGAAGTGAGTAATGACATTGGTATTTAAGTGAGTATTGACGTTGGTATTGAATTGAACATTTACATTCATTGAGATTGAAGTGAGTAATGACATTGGTATTGAAGTGAGTAATGACCTTGGTATTTAATTGAGCATTTACATTCATTGAGATTGAAGTGAGGAATGACATTGGTATTGAAGTGAGTAATGACATTGGTATTGAAGTGAGTAATGACATTGGTATTGAAGTGAGTATTGACATTGGTATTGAAGTGAGGAATGACATTGGTATTGAAGTGAGGAATGACATTGGTATTGAAGTGAGGAATGACATTGGTATTGAAGTGAGGAATGACATTGGTATTGAAGTGAGGAATGACATTGGTATTGAAGTGAGTAATGACATTGGTATTGAAGTGAGGAATGACATTGGTATTGAAGTGAGGAATGACATTGGTATTGAAGTGAGTAATGACATTGGTATTGAAGTGAGGAATGACATTGGTATTGAAGTGAGGAATGACATTGGTATTGAAGTGAGGAATGACATTGGTATTGAAGTGAGGAATGACTAATGACATTGGTATTGAAGTGAGGAATGACATTGGTATTGAAGTGAGGAATGACATTGGTATTGAAGTGAGGAATGACTAATGACATTGGTATTGAAGTGAGGAATGACATTGGTATTGAAGTGAGGAATGACATTGGTATTGAAGTGAGGAATGACATTGGTATTGAAGTGAGGAATGACATTGGTATTGAAGTGAGGAATGACATTGGTATTGAAGTGAGTAATGACATTGGTATTGAAGTGAGTAATGACATTGGTATTGAAGTGAGTAATGACATTGGTATTGAAGTGAGTAATGACATTGGTATTGAAGTGAGTATTGACATTGGTATTGAAGTGAGTAATGACATTGGTATTGAAGTGAGTAATGACATTGGTATTGAAGTGAGTATTGACATTGGTATTGAAGTGAGTAATGACATTGGTATTGAAGTGAGTAAGTATTGAAGTGAGTAATGACATTGGAATTGAAGTGAGTAAGTATTGAAGTGAGTAATGACATTGGTATTGAAGTGAGTATTGACATTGGTATTGAAGTGAGTAATGACATTGGTATTGAAGTGAGTAAGTATTGAAGTGAGTAATGACATTGGTGTGAGTAATGACGTTGGTATTGAAGTGAGTATTGACATTGGTATTGAAGTGAGTAATGACATTGGTATTGAAGTGAGTAAGTATTGAAGTGAGTAATGACATTGTTGTGAGTAATGACATTGGTATTGAAGTGAGTATTGCCATTGGTATTGAACTGAGAAGTGACATTGGTATTGAAGTGAGTAAGTATTGAAGTGAGTAATGACATTGGTGTGAGTAATGACATTGGAATTGAAGTGAGTAAGTATTGAAGTAAGTAACGACATTGATATTGAAGTGAGTATTGACATTGGTATTGAAGTGAGTAATGACATTGGTATTGAAGTGAGTATTGACATTGGTATTGCAGTGAGTAATGACATTGGTATTGAAGTGAGTAAGTATTGAAGTGAGTAATGACATTGTTGTGAGTAATGACATTGGTATTGAAGTGAGTATTGACATTGGTATTGAACTGAGAAGTGACATTGGTATTGAAGTGAGTAAGTATTGAAGTGAGTAATGACATTGGTGTGAGTAATGACATTGGAATTGAAGTGAGTAATGACATTGGTATTTAAGTGAGTATTGACGTTGGTATTGAATTGAACATTTACATTCATTGAGATTGAAGTGAGTAATGACATTGGTATTGAAGTGAGTAATGACCTTGGTATTTAATTGAGCATTTACATTCATTGAGATTGAAGTGAGGAATGACATTGGTATTGAAGTGAGTAATGACATTGGTATTGAAGTGAGTAATGACATTGGTATTGAAATGAGTAATGACATTGGTATTGAAGTGAGTATTGACATTGATATTGAAGTGAGTAATGACATTGGTATTTAAGTGAGTAATGATATTGGTATTAAAGTGAGTAATGACGTTGATATTGAAGTGAGTATTGACATTGGTATTGAAGTGAGTATTGACATTGGTATTGCTGTGAGTAATGACATTGGTATTTAAGTGAGTAATGACATTGGTATTAAAGTGAGTAATGACGTTGATATTGAAGTGAGTAATGACATTGGTATTTAAGTGAGTAATGACATTGGTATTGAAGTGAGTATGGACATTGGTATTTAAGTGAGTATCAATATTGGTATTAGATTTAGCATTTACGTTGGTATAGAAGTTAGTTTTGACATTAAACATGCATTTGCTGTCAAATTTGGATTGACATTGATATTGAAGGGAGCATTTACATTGGTATTAGAATTAATATTGACACTGGTATTAGAGATAGTATTGACATTGGTATTGAAGTTTGTAGTGAGGTTACTACTGGAGCTAGTATGGATATTGATATTGAAGTGAGTATTGGCATTGGTATTGAAGTGAGGAATGGCATTGGTATTGAAGTGAGTTATGACATTGGTATTGAAGTGAGCATTTACATTGATATTGAAGTGAGTAATGACATTGGTATTGAAGTGAGTATTGACATTGGTATTAAAGTGAGTAATGACATTGGTATCTAAGTGAGTAATGACATTGGTATTGAAGTGAGTATGGACATTGGTATTTAAGTGAGTATTAATATTGGTATTAGATTTAGCATTTACATTGGTATAGAAGTTAGTTTTGACATTAAACATGCATTCGCTGTCAAATTCATGTTCACCGATTTTACTTAAATTTTCATATTTGATTTATAACATACTAAAAGTATATTCAAATTATAAAAAGTCTAGAATAACAATTTACAAGGCATGGGCTCAATAATATGTATCATTGTTTTGTGAGTAATTTAGTCTAAACACTATCTAATTAACTATCTAGTTGACCTCTGAAAACTGCCAACGGTCATATAAGCAATATAAACATAAATATAGATATAAATAGATAGCAAACTTGTGCAATTGGTTTTTTCTAGGTCTGTTTTATTTCATATTATAGGTTGAGAATATATGTTAATCATTGTTTTTACCTGTATAAGATTGAGTTTTTGTGGATCGAATCAGTCAATCAAATGATTTACCTTTGTTTCACTTTCAATGTTGACATTCTTTTGCTTTTAATAACTGAAAGCATAATTCATGCGTAATCCATCTCTAGCTAAGGGGTTAAATTGAAGGTCACATGAATATGGATTCAGTGAGGTCGAATTATTTACTTGCAAGTGAATAATTCATCATCAATGTTTCTGAGCTTATTTTGACAAACTTAACCATACTGGATGCTAAAAGCGAAATACTATTTCACTAATTCACTTTCATTAATGATTAAACCAAAAATAATCATATTTTAAATTTTTAATATATCTCGTAGCTTTAGTTTGCAACAAATCTAATTTGCATAAATATGTTTCCCACAAGCTTTATTTGCATGGTAAAATGCTAGTTTGCTGCAAACGTTTGCCACAAGACTTTTTCTGTAAGGGTTTCTGTAGGAAAAGGCTTTCATTCCTTTAAGTTATTCAGTACTTATGTATAATGGAAGGTGATGTCATTTAGTTTAGTTGTATAAGCAGGAAATATTAATACACTTCGTGCATTGTCTTAGGTTTTAATTATTTGACTGTTAAATTTGGATCTCATAACAATTTAATGATAAATTAGAATCTCATAATTATTTGACTGTAAAATTTTAATATCATATATTTTCAGTTACAATATGATGAAAATGGAGATCAGGAAAATGTAGATAATGAAAATGATGTTGAATCAACCATGTTTAATGAAGATGAAGAATTTCCAAACAGTTCTGATTTTGTACATCATTTAGAAGGTTCTACTAACTGTTCATGTACTGGAGAAGAATCTTTATGTGCTTGTAAGTAAAAGTCACTGAACTGGAGGTTTGAAATTCTAGGTCTTTGGCTCTAGTTAAAAATTGCAAATCTCTATTTAAAGAGCAGAATTAAATTCTTAAATGTATGAAACTCAACAGATATAAACTAGTAAACTTTCAGTCAAAAATTTGGCCTTTTCTAATTGTCAATTTTCATGATGAAGTTTCAGAAGTAAGAAGTTCTTATCATGTTTATTGGGCAATTACAACTTATTGTGCGTTTAAAACAAAGAAGTGTGTACATGTATTTACTGAATTACTGATATCAAAGGGAGATAATTTTACTAGGAAACATCTATACTACTAAAATAAGGAGTTCCAATTTGTTAGAAGGCAATTATTATGACTATAAAATATAAAAAGAATGAAATCAAAGAATTCAACTTTATATTATTGTTATAGGACAATAGTGATGTCAGATTAAAAATTACACCATTCCAGGCCTTTTTGTTTTCCACATAATTAATATTACCAATACCGATAATTAACAAATTCCTGGTTGAATCCAATATACTGATACCAATAGTGTTAGTATATGTCACATGTAGTTTCCAGTTGTAGTAAGAAAACCTGGATGAGTTCAAACAAAGATTTTAAAAACAGATAAGTTGATAAGTACATCTAAACAAGTGACAACTCTAGGACAGATCCATCCATTGGATCACCAGTGAAGGTGACAGTTTTATACATGTACATCTATATGTGCACTTGCATATGGTCAATTTCTATATATCTGACACAGTTTAATTATACATATTGGCATAATCATCAGCAATAAGATTATCTGATTTCTTGATTACTTACTCTGTTTCAAAGACTTTTAGTTAAAGCACAAGTATTACTTTTGGTTAATCCAAGATTATAATTTTGATAATGTTTTTTTAACTTTATTTAATTTAAGATGACGAAATAATCACAATAGTTGAACATGATGCTGGTGTCAGTGCTGTAGACTTTTTGATGGAAAAAGAGGTGGTGGCTGTTCATGTTGAACTGTCAGACTATCATGCCTTAAGGAGAATTACTTGCATAACTGAAGATAGATCTTATATATTTGATTTTGAAACAAATCCATACTTAATAATGGCTGGCAGAGTGGCACAGTTTTTCAGTTGGACCCTGGAACCAAAGGGACCAATCAAAGTGAGGATTTATAATATCATTTTCATACCTGTCACTATTTGCAGGAGATTCCCCCCATGAAAGTTCGCCATTTTTCGCATTTTGCGAAAAAATAAAAATTGTGGCGATTAAAATTCATCATTGGCGAAAGAAATATATAGAACGATTTGATTTCATCCATCTGGTTTATCTTATTTTTTCGGGTTTCTCGGACGTTACCTGAACAGACAATACTTGGAATTCACCCTGAACTCGTTACGATTTTGACAGAAAATCAATAATCAGCTGATTGCATTTTATAGCTGTAGGCAACAATGGACACAATTCAATTAAGGTGTTGATTGTATTGTTTGATGAAATGATATGTGATTAATTGGCGTCCGTCACATGTCACATAAAGGATTTTTTAACAACTTTGTGACGCACGTGTTTGAAGCATAGTTTCATGTCTCCTCTTCTTCTTTTAACGATGGGCCGGAAAGGAAAATTGTTATGACGAAAAATGGTCCAGTGCAGGAAAACCTCAGACTGAAAACATTATCCTTTAACTTTGATATAGATAATTGATTTGTAGACGGTACTTTAAAATCATTTTGGAGATGCACGTGTTTCAATAGATATAAGAAGATGTGGTATGAGTGCCATTGATACAACTCTCCATCCAAGTCAAAATTTATAAAAGTAAACCAATATACTGTGGATTCATTTATTTTCGTGTGCACCAATTTTCGTGGATTGAGGAAAACTTGCATTTTCGTGGATATTTAATTTCGTGGTTTTGGCAAAGTCTGCATACATTCCTTTAGAAAATTTGTAATTCGTTGAACATTTAAATTTGTGGTTCCCATGTACCCACGAAATCAACGAAAATTGGTATCCAACGAATATTAATGAATCCACAGTAGGTCAAAGTACGGTCTTCAACACGGAGCCTTGGCTCACACCGAACAGCAAGCTATAAAGGGCCCCAAAAATTACTGGTGTAAAACCATTTAAACGGGAAAACTAACAGTCTAATCTATATAAAAATGAGAAACAAAAAACACTTATGAACCACATCAACAAACGACAACTACTGAACATCAGATTCTATAAGCATAGTTTTACATCTCGACATTTTCATTTACAATGGTCCGGATTAATGACGAAATATATTCAAAAGTAAAAAAAATATCTGCATTTAGTCTTTATCCTTAAACTAAAAGAGAAATGTATATCTGATCAACTTATTGAAGATGAATCTCGTGTTCCCAGAAGTCAAATTGGTGATTTCATGATCTATATTGCAATTTTACAGTATCTTTTAAAAGTAAATGTCGTAAATGTTTAGTGTTTATTCATTACAATGTAGACTAAAAGATAAGATTAAGAGAATAATTATGGACAACAATGGGGCAAACTCATTTTCTTTTTGTTAAAAAGAAGGAAAATTTTAAACGAAAAATATATTCATGTTGCTTGGCATAAAAAAATTGAAAGTGGCGAAAAATATATAGTTTTGGCGAGCATGCACAATATAGATTGCATACGTCTGACATGCTTTTCTGTATTTACCTGAAATAAAACAAAGCCTTAATAATTTATAAGATGTATTAATGAATTGGGGGAAAATAATTTCCCTGAAATTAAGTAGGCCAAATTGAACGAAAAACATAAAACTAAAACAAACAAAACACATATTGTTATGAGTAGCCCCTTTTAACTAAACATATAAAAATTGATTGACATTAAAATCATGACTATTTAATTTTTCAAGGTGCAGCTGGGGAAACGGTGGGTGGGCTGAATTAATTTTCCACAAGTAAAAATATGACTGCTAACAGTGCAATGCTCAAACGACAACTGACCATCCTATCAAAATTATATACAGATGTTCTCTGATTACACCCATGCTGTCATCATGCTGTTTCCTATCTATGATCTAACACTTATCCCTTAATCTCTTAATTAAAACAAAACTGCCAAGCTGCCAAGCTGACCTTATCATTAACAAAATAAAACCAGGGAAAGTACATACCCTAGGAATTTATCAAAATATGTATAAACTCTAATTTAATTTTTAAAATTTCCATTTACCTTCATCAGGAACGCTGGAGGCTAAAACATTTTAAAGCCAAAGATGTATAAGTACTGAAACACACGAAGATATATGTCCAAAATGGACCTATACGCGTTATTAAACATGACATAAAGGACCATCGGACGACTCCCAAGTCAAATTGAACTGCTATTATTAGCTGTTTTTTAGCTGTTATTTACCAGTTCTTCATATTTTTAGCAGTCTTTCAGCTGTTCTTAGCAGTCCATCTAATAGCAGTTTGAAAAATTTCCTTGTTTCACCATTTCTTAGCATTCATCTTAGCAGTTTGGATACCTTTTAAAACTGCTGTCAATTTGTCAAATGAACAGCAGTTATGACAGCAGTTCGATAGCAGTTTGATAGCAGTTTTTAATCTTTGTTATATAAATGCTTGGATCTGGTTGTGTTTTCAGCTTGAAAGTAAACCTTTATTTGAAGATTATTTGATCATTTTCAAATGTGCATTTTGGCTCCAAGATGTGTGTAAATTAGGGATGTCAACTCGGTGAAGATTTACTAATCGATTACTCGTTGGATTTACCGAGCGATACTCGAGTATTCGCTCGGTAAAATATTTACAAAATGGAAACACAAAATTATACCCATTGTATGTCTTGTGGGTCGTCGTCTTGGGATCGTGAAACCCTCAACATTATTACCTAGGACTAGATAATAGTCCAAGGAATTTTATACCATAATTAATAGCTCATTTGTATTTACTACATACATGTACTAATTATGTAAACTGGTAATAATCTAATCTAGAATATACTTACAATGCAAGATGTTATTTGAAAATAAAAATATGAATATATTAATAAAACTTTGTAAAAAACAAAAACAAATCATATTAAAGAGTTGAAAAGGGGGAGGGAATATTATAAAAACCTAGGCCGCAAATAGCTAATTGTTTAATATTGACCAAACAATCCATTTAATGAAGTATATGTTACTTAAGTTTGTTTCAGAAAGTCGAAACATAATATATTACATGTATTAAAAATTTTGTTGTTAAAATCCAAAAGAGAAGGAGGAGATAACAAAAATATATATATATAAAGTATAGAGAGAAAAATTAGTAGTACATTTGGTAATTAAATAATAATTAAAAAGAAATATCTTTTAATCTGAAAATCACTTAGTCAAGGTAAATTAATAGTCTCTAGTAACCACTCTTATTGAATTAGTTGCTTTCTATAAGCACTGATATTTAAAGTGCTTTCTTTACTGTTCCTATTATTCGGCCACTGACATAATTAATTAAAGAACCTTTGTGAGCACGCTCACATACCCCACGTCCCCACATTGTCACTGGACAAACAAAATCTCACCAGATTCCTAAGTTTCAAAGATTCATAACTCTACAAAAGTCAACTGATAAAAATTTTCTTGTGGATATGCACATTTACATATTATGTCCTCATAAACTTCCCGGTACAAACTTTCATGAAATTCTGTTGTGTGGTTTCAGAGAAGTTGCGAACTGTTGCAGTAGTATATTTAGGCCAAAATTCTAAGTTCAAAGGGGCATAACTCCTAGAAAAAAAATTCAATAGTAATTTCCTGTCGATATGCACATCTACATAGTATGTCCTTATTATATACAAAGTTTCATGAAATTCTGTTGTGTGTTTTCAGAGAAGTTGCGATTACTAACTGACAGACGGATGGACAGACAGACAGACGGACGGACGGACGGAAGGGTGAAAAAGATTATACCCTCCGCAACTTCGCTGGGTGGGGTATAATAAGGGGTCTAAGGCCAGGTACAGTGCTCCCAAAGCATGTTTACATCCCGTAACAAGTCTGTTATTGGATTAAAATCGAATCATTTGATTGCAGTTACTGCTCAAATTACAAATTTAAGCTAGTACAACTTTTTGAAATTTCAACAAGACGTTCAGTAAAATATTTGAAATTTATTTCTGCATTCATAACTTGTACAATTTATATTTATGTACCTTTGTATTCCAACTTTTGACAGATCTGATAGCATTTCATAGCAGTTATTAGCAGTTTAGAAAACCATATTACGATGTACAACTTAGCAGTTTGTATGAATATTCATTATTGACAGCTGTTATTATAGCAGTTCTCATGAATATTCAGAGAAGATAGCAGTTTTTGGGTATCTCATTTAAATTTTTCGTCAAAAATAACTGCTGAATAACTGTGCAGGCTAAATAAACTGCTATAAATACTATAAGTAATACATTTTTTGTAGGTCAAATATTGGCACTCATACCACATCTTCTTATATCTATTGGTGTATAGATTTATTACTTTAATATGAACATTTATGTCTGGCAGGTATCATCTGTCCTTGACCTCATTTTAATGGTTCTTTGGTTAATGTTGAGATTCCTTAGTTTGATCCTTTTCTCATATACTACAAGCAATAGGTCAACTGTTTTTATACGACCGCAAAAATTTTTTTGGGTTCGTATTATAATGCTTTGTTGTCGTCCGAAGACACATTTGGTTTCCAGACAATAACTTTAGTTTAAGTGTATGGATCTCTATGAAATTTTTTAAAAAGGTTCAATACCACAAAAGGAAGGTTGGGATTGATTTTGGGGAGGATGGTCCTAACCGTTTAGGAATTAGGGGCCCAAAAGGGGCCCAAAACAAGCATTTTTCTAGTTTCAGGATAATAACTTGTGTATAAGTATTTCGATTGCTCTGAAATTGTACCACAATGTTTAATACCACAAGTAGAAGGTTGGGATTCATCTTGGGGGTTATGGTGCCAACAGTTTAGGAATAAAGGGCCAAAAAGGGGCCAAAAACAAGCATTTTTGTAATTTCCGGACAATAACTTGTGTGCAAGTGTATGGATCTCTCTGACATTGTACCACAAGGTTCCATATCACAAAGGGAAGGCTAGGATTGAGTTTGGGGGTACTTGCCCCAAACTTGCAGGAATTAGGGGCAAAAAAAG